AATGAATTTACCACATGTTATAGCCGTCGTCGTCGTTATCAAAAGCTATAAAAAAGCCTAAAATTGTCAAAAATACCACTGTATTGCCCAGTAGTACTAACACACACGCGCCCGTCTGGATCTGTAAAGCAATTTCATTCATCACATTAGCATCATATACAGTATGAACCAAATTATATTCAATTCATTTCTCACTATTAATCATTACCATACATACATACATTGCTAATTATATGCAATTCATTATTAGCAACTCCTAAATATCTATTCTGTTTACCAATTAGTATTGACTAATTTTGAAAATCAAATACCGGTGTTTGTATATTAGTATAAATATCTCAATGACTAATGCATGTATTATATAATCAATTGAAACAAACTATCAAATGATTGAATAATATATAGTTTTGGCTCTAATAAATGAATAGTAAAAGTGAGAGATTGTGTGAGTGATGACTAATTGATGAGATAATGGTAACAATGGTAAGAAAGTGTACACACAATTTGTTCAGGGCCAAGTGGAGATCGAGCCAATATAATGGGTAAACCATACGCTGAGATGACAATCCCGGCCGTCAAGAAGAGCGCCAACTCTTTGCACGCATTACTCGATCCGACGTCGTCTTGATATCTCCGGGCAATAATCGATGGCAACGGCGCCAACACATAGAATATCACCACAAAGAATGGCCACCAGCGACTGCATAGGGGACAGACACACAGTGAGTGCATGGGCACCGGTATGTCACTGATATACATACGATCCAAACGATGGCAGAGCACATCCCAACACCACAAGAGTCATACCAACCGAACCCAGAAATGCCAACAAAACAAGCCTTTTGTCAAAACAAACAAACATTTCAATGATTATGTCTTCAACATTCACTCATGTCTTACGCTATAATTGGTGTTCATTTGTCGAGACAATGGCAGGAATGGCACATAAATGAGACAAACATTGCATGAGTTGTTGTCATCAAACAAATGCGAAAAACAATTCATTCAAACCTTTAATTCCGGCCATAATTTGCGGCAATAATTGACTCAATTATGGCTACAAATAACAGATTGCGATGTCTTTCACACAATTGTATGAAAAGAATAAATGTTTTTCAAATCAATTAGACGTGAATTGAGAAGAGAATTGAATGTTCTATGAAATCATAGTTTCTATCAAATGGTTATCTCTTTTGATAAAACAATTTGTTATCAAAAACTAAATAAACAAAAAATATGGACACAAATGACGACAACTGTTGGCAACACAAGTTGTGAACAAAAAGATGACGAGAAATAGGGTTTGAAATCGTCATAAAAACTTTCAAATGAGTCGACAGTTTTGCACGAAAGGCATGAACGAGGCACACGATGACCACACTTAGGCCTGTTTCGGTGATAATACCCTGATCACTATCATTCACACTAATGTCCACTCAATTGTCCCTTAAGTTGGCACGGATTAGCAGCGAGTTTACCATCAGTTCAAACATTATGTCAAAGTTTGCAATAACGATGAAAACTGAACAAAAGTTTTGTGCAATGAATGCCACTTATAAGGTGTTTGGCATATAATGGCTTTGTTTGCGAGGCATTCACCTGTAAATTGTAGTGAATTTAGGAAATGATTAACTGTTGAGTGTTTGTCATAGTTTTTGCGGTAGAAATGAGATGCAAATCATGTGAAATGGATGTGAACTGAATGAACGAAATACTTGTAATTATAGTGAGGTTTGAGTGTTCGTAAGCGCAGACTCAGTGCATAGGAGTAGTCATGTTATGAGTGTATGAGTGACTCAACAATAATTGAATTCTTATTAAAAGTAATTCATTTGACGATCACTTCAGTCGACAATATCTTCAACTGAACCAACATTTGATCCAATCTTAAGTCCACTGTCAACATCAAACCAACTCTCGATTATCGCAATCTATTGTCATTGAATTGAAGGCAAACGATGGCAGACAAGAAGAAGTATGAAATGATAGACTCATTGCCGGCTTTGTTATGCATTTGACTCAATGACTGACACTTTCTTTGCTGATCTGATCCGTAGTGACAAAGACTTGTCGACCGCTATCTTGAATACCAAACAAAAGCCGAATCGGCTTCTGGTGGAGGAGGCGGCCAACGATGACAACTCTGTGGTGGCCTTATC